TGGGTATCCAATCGGAGATGTCCAGTAGGCTGTTCAATACATGGGTCTGGAGTTCTGGAGCGAACAGGCATTGGACATGCAAATTTGAGAATCATTGGCAGATAGATAATATTTAAAGCCAGGAGTCTGAGTACAGACAGAGAGAGGGACCAAAGGCTGAGGAGGGGGATTATTCCAACATGAAGAGCACTTACTAAGCACCAAGCACTGTTCTTTGTGCTTTGCATAGTTATTCACTTAATCTCCAAATCAACTCACAGGATACTATTATTATCTTCATTTTATAGAGGAGTCAGTAAAGTCAGTAAATCAATAACTATTTCATGATATAAATTGTCGAAATCAGATTTAGCTCCCTTTTTGAATAGTGTGAACTTATTTTGAAATAAATTATGTAAACTTTTTCGGCACAAGCTTTATCCATTATGCCTCTGAAATCTTAGTAGTTATACTTTTCAGTTATACTTTAAATAATCAGCCCAACTCATCTGTTCAAAGGTGCTTAACTTTCCAGTTGACAACACATTCTAGGAAAAGCTACTGAGGAGAGACCAAAAAAAAAAAAAAAAAAGCTTACATTCTTAAAGGAGAAAAGGAGAGCCATATTTAGTGTTCAGTATTTCTTAAAGACATTGTCTTTATTTGCTTTTGTAGGTCTCTTCTTCAAGAACCATGCATTCTCTACTTATATTTAAAAGTGGGAGAGGCAAGCTAATAAAGGGAAATTGTCATCACTCCTACCACCTCACTCTATTATGTATTCAGAGTACCTCAGTGGGGTCGTTTCTAAGGCTATATCTCATCCTTAACAGAAATGTGCATAAGACAGGGAAAGATAGAAAGCACTGGGGTGGGTTAATCATCACAGAAGGCTTCTAGAAAAATATTTTAAATTGTTCCCATGGTACCCTGGAGATTTTTACATCTTGGGACAAGGATGCAGATGAATAAACTTGCTGTATATACTTTTCTGCCTTCTCGTTTTTCTTGGGAAACAGGTTATTGTGAAAGTAGAGGTGGGTAGGAGAACTTCCAAAATGGTTTTATTTTTTATTTTATTTTTTCTCCAGACATTTGTTTTAGGAAAAAGGACAAATGGAAGTTGAGAATCTGGGAACAAAATTTTCCCTGCTCACAATGCTCCCTGGAAAGTCTCCACATACTTTGGGGAATGGAAGTTGAGAATCTGTGAACAAAATTTTCCCTGCTCACAGTGCTCCCTGGAAAGTCTCCACATACTTTTGAGGATTACTATAACTCAAGTTCTAGACTGTCTTAAATAATTCCAATAGGGAAGAAAAACAGCAAGAAGGAGAGAGATCTCAAAAAAAAAAAAAAAAGTGATTGCAGAGGCATTCCTCTACTGAGTCTAAAATATGAGACAGTGGATAGATATGTACATTTACCAAATTTCTAGAAAGCAGTATAAGGAAAAGCAGAATTCTGAATGAGCTTACAGGTGTGAAAAGTAGTAAAAAAAAGAACAACAAAGGATTCTTTTAGGTCATGTTGAAAGCAAGAATAAAAACAAAGACTTTGAAAAAAGATGATATAATGTTAAAAGGATAACAGAGAAAACAACTAACAAAGTCTCTTTTTTCTCCATTCTTCTCTCAATTACTGTCTACAAATGGAAAGGGTAAAAAAGTAAAGGTAGAAGTGAACCTAAATGCAAGGAAGGTAAGACATAATTTAGTTAATTTAGTTATTTTAATGAGTTTGTTTTTATGCCCAGATAAATTGTAATCTGAGATATTTAGAGAGCTTGCAATTGTAACCATCTAACCACAGCGATCTTAGAAAATAATTTTATGAACGAAAAGTCAGCATAGATTAAGAATCTAATTTTAATCATAGATCTAGCATTGGCTGTCAAACTAACCTTACATTTAGGAACATATTGCTTAATTTAAGATCTAGGCTTCGTGTCTTTTTTTAAATTTAATGTTGCAGTTCACCCTTGAACAACGCAGATTTGAATTGCATGTGTCCACCTATATGTGGAATTTTTTCAATAGATACCTGTACTGTTTTCAATCTATTGTTGGGAGTTCACGGATGCAGAGGGCCAACTGTATACATTGATCTGCACTCTTTTATAAAGGGGACATGAGCATCCATGGATTTGGCGTCTGTGGGGGATGGGGTCCTACAACCAATCTCACTCAGATACTGTTGGGACAACTGCAGTAAAGTTTTTGGAGAGTCTAAAGTTATCCAGGGATTTGCGACTGCATGGAGTGGCAGCGCACCTAACCCTTGCATTGTTAAAGAGTCAAATGTGTATTTGAGCAGTTCTCTAATATTTCTCATTAATATTCTGTTCTATAATTTTAAATATCTACATGGTACTCAATCATATGAATATACCCTAAATTACTTAATCCACCATGGTTCCGTTTACACTATTTCACATTTTTGGCTTTTAAAAACCGTATTGGTGTTACGATCATTTTATATAAAACTTTGAAAATTATTATTTTTTTAAATTTTAGGCCAGATTCCCAAAGAGGAATAAATTAATCGAATGGCTTTATATTTCAAAACCTTTTAAAAGGTATCACCAAAATTGTCTTCGAGAAGTACCTATTTATATTCTGAACAACAATAAATGAGTGCCTATTTTCCCAACCCTTATCATTACTAGGAGATTTTGGTAGAAAAACTTTTTTTTTGGTGATCTTTTTATCGTAGTAAAATAGATATAACATATAACTTATCATTTAAACCATTTTAAGTGTACAATTCAGAGGCATTAAGTACATTTGCAGAGTTTTGCAGCCATCACCACTATCTATTTCTAGAACCTTTTCATCATCCCAAACAGAAACTCTCTACCCATGAAACAAAAAACTTAAAAATAATCTTTAAAAATACTGTCGTTCCTTTGCTGTATGTTATTTCATCCAATCAGCAATATTCTTCCCCTGCTCCTAAGACCTTTGAATTCTTCTATATTAGTCAGACTAGATAACAAACTACTCCCAAATCATGTGACTTACACAGCAAGTGTTTATTTCTCATTCAGCTTGCATGTTCTATGCCAGTCAGTGAATCTGTCTGCTTCTCTCAGTCTTTTAGAGGTTTGGGCTAATGGAGGCCCAATCATTTCATTGTTCACCGTTTGGAACATGAGGACTTCATGATTACCAAGTCAGGGCAAGAATGTGCTATAGAGCCTGCACCAGCAATTAAATGCTTCTGTCCAGAAATGACATGTTACTTCCATGACAGCCAGAATAACTTGGTTAGAACTGGTAACAGGTAATACAGCAGAGGGCGGCAAGTATATTCCTATAGTGTTGCCTAAAAGAAAGAAGAGCTAGATATGGGCAAAGGGCAAAGGTCTCTGTATCTTCTTTCATATACTTATTGATACAAAACTGGCTTCAATTATCTATTTGCAAAGCTTTTTTTTTTTTTTTTTTGCTGTTAAAAGAGCCCACACATTGTTTCACTTTATGAAATACCAGGAGAAACCTTGGAATAGGAAGTGGAAAAAATTAATTTAGAAAGACAGTTATTTGATCTAAGTACAAAGTTGTGTGTTGCAGAGTAATATGTAAACATCCTGCTATGGCTAAACATGTTCAATTGCCATCTTTGTCCAGTTTTCTTAATAACTTCTAGATTTTGAAGTAGGTGCTGACACTTTTCCTACACCTTGGGCCCTCTTGTTGTCATGTGGTTTGGCATGTTACTGTGAATGCCCTATGGAGGATGATAAATGTTGACGAACACGTCACAAGTTCATTAACGAGTTGTTTGAGAAATGGGAAATCAATTAATTTTTCATTAAACACACATTCTTTCTTTTAGCTTATTCCTACCGAAAGGTTGGTTGTTTTTGTTTTGTTTTGTTTTGTTTTGTTTTTTATACCGAAAAAACCCCAGTGTTACCATAGAGTAAAGTATTTAAATAGATGTAGATTTGTACAATACAATAAAGGACAAACAGCTTTAGTAATGGAGTTCAGACTGCTTTGTATGCTGTATGGCGGCTCTACTAAACCTTCATTTCCTTGCACATCTACACTTAACCTATAATTGTCTGTGCTTCCTGTTGACCTTGCAGACTGGTGGCCTGGCAACTTCATTCATCTTGCAGGTTACTGCATGGGCCATTCTAAAACTGGCTGGTACACCAAATAGCCAGCAAGTATAGCAGTGTCAACCACTTCTCCTATGGCCGCTGGAAGGAATAGCTGTACCTATCTGATCATGCTCCAAAGAGCTTTATTTTACTAGCTACTGCCCTTCATGCTGTTTTTGATACTATGTGTTGGTTACATTGCTCCTGGGAAAGTCAGGAAAAATGAGATAAGATATCCTTAGTCATCTTTTAGGTTGTCCACATGTCAAAGTGAGGACACTGTTCATTGCACATGTATCTTGCCCACTAGTAGAAGAGACCATGGCAGGAGTTGGAAATACAAATAGAGGTCCAGCAAACCCATCCCAGCTTATTTTAAAATTTTTTTCCATGAAATTATAGTAAAACTCCATTTAGAAATGAAAAAAACCAGGGGATAATTGTAAAAGGGGGGGGCAAGGGAGTGGAATATCAGCACAACAGGCATAAAGCAGGCCAGGTAAAAGGGGAGGTCTTAGTGAGGGTTATCCAGAGAAACAGAACCCAATAGGATATATACATACACACGCACACACACACACACGCGCGCACACACAAACGTACATATAAATACAAAAATACATATACATACATTTGTTTATTAATTATAAGAATTGGCCCACATGGTTGTAGAGGCCAAGAGGTCCCATAATCTGCCATCTGCAAGTTCGAGAACCAGGAAAGCTAGTGGTGTAATTCAGTCTGAGGCTGTAGGCCTGAGAACCAGGGGAAGGGCTGCTCCTATGAGTCTCAGAGTCTAAAGGCCTGAGAACCAGGAACTCTGATGTCCAGGGTCCAAGGGCAGGTAGTGATGGATGTCTCCAGCTCACCCTTTCTTTACCTTTTGTTCTTTTTGTGTCCTCAACAGATTGGACTGGATGATGCTCACCTTCATTGGCGAGGGTGGATCTCTTCACTCAGTTTACTGAATCAAATGCTGGTCTCTCCCCAAAGGCCCCTCACAGATACAGTGAGAAATAATGTTTTACCTGCTCTCTGGGTATCCTTTAGCCTAGTCAAGTTGGCTTATAAAATTAACCATCGCAGAAGACTTAAAGTCATGTGACAGAGCTCAAGAGATCAAAGATGCCGACATGATTTGTTTTCTCCAGTGTGCCATGGGCTTCTAGGCTCCTCCCCCCTAGAACATGAAGGGGAGTGTTACTCTTTCCATTCTAGCTCAACTAGATAACTAAGTCCAAATACTCTACAAATTTCCCTATAGGTACATCGCCTTCTAGTACCAATCTAGGTATTTACTAATCTTTGGTGACAAGGAAAAAAAAAACAATTCTGGCAATTTAAGCATTTTATTCAAAGTATGTGGGGTGCTAAAGGAAACCTGCAGAACCAGCCTCGGAAGAAGAAGCTGAGTCGCCTGCCAGGCAGCAGGTCTCTCTCGACACTCTTGGCTAGACCAGATGCACTTTGCTTCTCCTGCCCATGCTTTGCTGTGCGCAAGAGTCAAAGTCCTAGGAAAGAGAGTCTGGCTGGCTGAGTGTAGGGCATGTGCCAGGCCCTTGGCAGTCGTGGGCCTGAGAGGCAGGATTAGCAGAAGGAGCCTCCAGAGATCTCTTTGGATTCCCTGGTGTGAGACAGAGACATGAATTTTACCAAGATTGCACTTCATGGGAAAATGACACCCAGGTAGAAATCGAGGTGCTCTTGGGAAGTGCAAATGAAGGCTGAGCATTAAAAAATTATACTGTTCACCACTGAGAGCAAAAAAGGTGATCATTTTAATGGCCTCAAAGCCCATGAATCTATGAGTCTGTTGAGTTATTTGCTGACTTAGTTTCCTATTTTACAATTGTTAGATTGCTTCCTTTCTTTTCCCCCTTCATCGAGTAGCCCTTAGTATATACATCTATAAAACAATATTATCTTCTTTGGGCAAATTGCCAGGTCTGGAATTATTGGGTCAAAAGATAAGACATGAATATTCATATTTTCTTCATTTTCTGTTTTACTCAAGTACCCATAGACTCTGAGAATGTGCCTCTCCAGTCATGGCAGATTGGCTTTCCAGTGAGTAGATAATTGCCCAGGTGAAGGTCGTCCTGTGGGAAACTCCCTCTGGGTTACTTCAGGGGCATTTGTGGTGCTGGGAAAAACATACTCTTTAGAGCTCTTGTCATTCCTTCCAACATACTTTATATCTATTGCTATCTGCAGAAAATAAACTGCAAGGCCACTGCTTTAGTCACTTGAACCACATGTTAGATGAAAGAGGGCAGCATTTGCCTAAGTGATCTGTGGGCAGTGGGAGTGCCTGCTGATATATATCAGTGTATACGATGTGATATACCAACTCCCTCATCTCCACACCAGGTCTTTCCAGAAGCAGGGGTGGGGGCAGGGGAAGCAGTGACTGTGTTATGACCTGGAGAGGGTGTTCCACCTGGGAAGGGGACTGGCTGTGTGCCTTGACCCACATCTTCTTGAGCCAGGTTCTTCTAAGTCTAACTTGAAAAGATGAGAGTCCCAGATTTCTTCAGAGGCTTTTCATTTCAATAGGAGAGAATTATAAAATCCCTCCCTTGCCCACATCCCCGTTTCCCACCCCAGCTTCACTGGGAACATCCACTTCTCAGCCAGACTGCTGGGCCGGGCTGGCTGGACAAAACAGCAGGGCATTGTGTTTTATAATTATCCATATGTCAGTTTATTCCTCTTGGCCAGAGTACACCAGATACACCAGGTTGCAAATGCTTTGAGATCAGGGACTGTCTCACCTTAGTATTCCTTGCAGAACTCTCCAGTGCCTCGCCTACTCCAGGTACTCAGTATTTGCGGACTGAAGGTCCTTTAGTGAGTGGAATGGTTCTACGACCTCTTTGGGGTTGCTGACTCTTCTAAATTACAGTATCTTGGGGCGCTGGAAAAGGTGTGCTCTCTCTAGAAACAGTCGGGGCCCTGGAGGAGTTCTGAAACCTGGGCACAGTGTTCTCAAGGAAAGAAGCAAGGCTGGTGCAGAAGCAGATGGGGTGGGCCCGCGCTCCCTCTGCACAGGCTGTGTGTCAGCCCACGGAGCTCCAGCCACATGGCCTTTTTCAATTTCTCCTACAAGTTCTTCAACAAAGCTTCCTTAGGATATGTTTCTTTGCTCTCCACATTGCATCCACTTCACCTCTACCCCACTAATTCTTCATCCTGCAGCTCTCAGCCCAACTGTCAGTTTCCTCACTGACATCTCAGATTAGGACCAATTCCCCTGTTATAGCTCTCCATGTACAGCTCTTTCCTAGAATTTATCAGCATTTTATTTTCTATGTTTTTTTTTTTGAGAAAAGAAACAGGTTTTTATTTGTTCATTTTTTGGAGAAGTACTCTAGTGACATCCTTGGCCTGAGACTCTTTGCCATAGTCTTTAACGACCACACAGCTGCAACCAAGCAGGGTGCAGGTTTTCCCTCTTTGTCAGTTTTACAGAGGCCTACCCATTCCCCTAGTTTCTTGTTGTCATCAACTTTAATTAGGCTATTTGGCATTCAGCACAAAGGGCCTCCACCCACTTGAGTACACAGGCTCATCACAGTTGGATGCAAGCACACAGTGATGGGCTCGACACTTTAAGGCCTTGGCCGTTTCTCAAACTCCACGTGCTAGGCCCTCGTGAGTGAGGGCAGTCTTTCACACCTCTCCTAAAGCAGTATTAACTACCACTCACCTCCAGCTGCAGCGCTTTCCTCAGTCAAGGTGGTGGGTTACAGGTAGAGCTGAGTCACAAGTACACCTGAGCCTCTGCTGCTGTACAACTGCGCAGCAGGGAAAGGCCAGACTTTTCTTTTAATGTTTGTTTTTGTAATTATTTGGTATGTTCTTTCTCTCTGACTAGAGACTATTATTTAATGAGGACATGAACTGTGCTCTGTGTGTGTGTGTGTGTGTGTGAGAGAGAGAGAGAGAGAGAGAGAGAGAGAGAGAGGGGGGAGAGAGAGAGAGAGAGAGAGAGAGAGAGAGATTGTTGTATTGATATTTACTATAGGAATTGTCTCATGGAATTATGGAGGCCAAGAAGTCCCATAATCAGTTGCAAGCTGGAGAACCAGGAAAGCCCATGATGTAAGTGCCAGTCTAAGTTTGAAGGGCCGGAGAACTAGGAGTACCAATGCCCAAGGGCAGGAGAAGATGGATCTCCTGGCTCAAGAAGTGAGGAAATTCGCCCTTCCTCTGCCTTTTTGCTCTATTCAGGCCCTCAATGGATTGCATGATGCCTACTTACAATGGTAAGGATGATCTTTATTCAGTCTACTGATTCATATGCTAATATCTGTCAGAAACATCCTCACAGACACAGCCAGAAATAATGTTTTACCAGCTCTTTGGGCATCCCTTAGCTTAATCAAGTTGACACATAAAATTAACCATACAGAGATTCTGACTTGACTCTCAGTAGAGTTTATCCAGTGTAGTGCCCTTAGCATAGGATTTCTCAAAGTGCAGCACCCGGATTGCTAGTTCAGGAGCTCTGAATAAGTGTTTTGTGAAGAAAAAGAATTGTTTAAAAAATAAAGATGTAATGAAAATGTCACACAGATTTGCACACTTACTATTTTGTGATAATTTTAGGAAAGTTGCACTACAAACTGCTAATAATGGTTATATATGGGGAGGAGGTCTTTATTATACTTTGTTTCTTTTATTGTGATAAAATACACATGACAAAAATTACCATTTTAGCCATTTTTAAGTGTACAGTTCAGTGGTATTTAGTATATCTACATTGTTGTGCAGCTGTCACCATTATAGTTTATAGATTACTAGTTCATGAAATCGTTATGCAGCATCCTCATATCTTGGTGGATTAACCCCGCCCCCAGCACAGAGAATGGCCTCTGAGTGGCCCATACTGCTTGGCCTTACCTGCACCTTTGCCTCGGTGATCAGTGGAGAGACAGGCCTCCAGGTCTAAGTGAGTTAGGGAGTGGTAGTCTCTTAAACTGGTTTGATGCCTGGATGGAAGTAGTTGTGATAGGGGAGCATCTTTTTAGCTCAGGAAGACATATTGTTTATAGGTAAGTCTGGAAGTGTTGAAGCCACTGGATTCTCATGAAGGAAGTTTTCTGGAGGCTGAAGTCAGTAGCAAAAAAGAGGGACAGAGCTGAGAGAATCAGAACTAAAGCTGGAGTGGTGATAAGCTTTCAGAAGCCTGCTCTGCCTCTCTCCAGGGAAGTTTTCAGTGATACGGTCCAGTAACTTTATGTTTAAGCTGTTTTGGCATTTTCCCTCCTCCATACTTGTCAAAGCAGCCTAATACAGTTTGGAAGACAAAGATTTATTTTGTATTACTTCTCATGGTAACATTTACATTTTGCCATACTTATAATTGGTACACCTCACTCATAAAGGTGTTGGCCTGTAGCAAAGACTGTTAGGTTCCTGCTCAAAATCTATCATCCTTTCTCTCTTTGTAAGAAAAGTTAGGTTTCTCTTTCGGGTATCTACCTAGGGAATAGAGTTACTGGCTCCTGTGTTAACTCCATATTTAACAATTTGAGGGCGTTTCAGCAATTCCTTTTTTTGTGGAAAGGCTTAGGTTTTTGCCCAGAGGATTGAATGCCTATCAGTGTTTGGCTGTTTTGCCAGGCCCTCACTGTTTACATCCCTTCTGTTCTTGAGTGTTTTCTCTCTTTATTTGCCTCTTTTATTCTCTTTAGACTTCAGTCCCCTGCTGATTTTAGTAGGGACTGAAGCTTTCAACACCTAAAAGTTGTTTGTAAAATATTTTAAGCTCTGGAGGACTGACATTGAAATTATAATATTTATCTGTTTATCTTTGGGTTAGGCACTCACCGTGTTTTGTAACAAAAGAGCTGATTGAGTAGGAGGCTTATTTAACTTGGTCCTGAGGGTTATACTCCTACAACGTGCTGTCCAAACAGATTCTTAATTACCCAGCTCCAGTCTGAATGTTTTAAAGAATCACTTTGAAGTTTCTTGGTGCTAACTTCATTAGTAAACATGTATGTAAACTGTTGTGAGCTTGTAAATAAAAATGTATATAGAGTTCCTAGTGTGTACCTGGCACATAATAATTGCATAATAGTTGCCATTATGAAAACTTTAACAATTATTTCTTTTAGGTATACATTTCCATAATTTAAAAAGGTTTAACTTTTTTAGGGGACACATTTGCGTTGTTTCAGAACACGGAATAGTTTACTTTTCTAGGTGCACTGACATTCTCTTTGATCGTTACTCACCTGGTGAAAACCACACGTAACGTGGCATGTTTTCCGGGTTATTTTTAGAACAAAGATCATCTTTACCTACCCAAGCTAATGTAATCTGCTGAATGCAACAGAAACAACTCTTCAGTGGTTTAGCCACCCTCTCCCTCCCACCAAGTCGTGCAGTGTGGACACGCAGAAAGTCATAGATGCTGCCTGGTTCCGAAGAAACGCCCCCTGCCTTTGTAAGCATTTGTCTAAAGCGGAGATTTAACACGCATTTTACTTTAAGGGAACGTGAACAAGGAAAGAGAGAGCTCTGCGTGCGAGTCCCTTCACAGCTCTGGGTCCGTCCCAGGATAAATGAGATGAGTCAGTCATTTCCCCTAACTTGAGTTTTGTCGCCCGGCAGCGGGATTAGAGGCTGCTCTTAAGATGTCCCTTCCTTGTCCCTGCCGAGAGGAGCCGACAGTGAGTCACCCAAAGGGGACCCCAAGGAAAGAGGAGGTGCACGCGCCCCAGGGGTGGAAAAGAGACGCGGGACGAAACTCTAGAGCGAGGGATCCTCGGAAGGAAGAGGAGGGGCAAGGGCGCGTGGGGAAGAAAAGGAAGAGGCGTCCGGGGAAAGGAAGGGAAGGGAGGGGTGGAGAGGAAGAAGGAAGGCGGAGGAAAAAGAAGGGGGCGAGCGGCGGAACGCTGGGCGGGCCGGGGAGGTGCCCTGGGCGGAGCGGCCTCGAGCTTTGG